GGCGACGATAAGCATGGCATGGGCCACCGGACTGGTCTGTATTCTGATGAACACGGCAACCTCAAGTTGACGGTGGGCAAGGAACACAGAACATTTGACGTGAAGTGGAACGGGGAGAAGTACGAAGTGGAAATCGATGGCAGTAGGTTCACGGGACGATATCTTTCAAACCTGACAGAAGACGTCAATCGAGTGAGTGTGGTTGCGTTGATTATTTATGGTGAATTTAACGAATTTTCAGAGGAAATTTGACCCGTGCATTTGAATACGTAATTCAGGTCTAACTTCAAAGTACTAATCGTCATTCCTGATCACACTTTATTTAATGGTGGGGAGTAAATCATCGAGTCTAACAATAAGTGATGGCACATACGCACAACCTCAGACCTATGTAACGCTTAATTTGTATGTAGTCTGGCGCATGTCACAACCTTCTATTTGGCAGTGACCTTTTCGCTCATTAGAGAGAATTTCTCAGTGCAAGACATGACAACAAGATTGGTGGTATAGTTTGTGGTTACGAAATGGTTTGGATTTTTGAGTGACCATACCACGTGGGGCAATTTTTGAACATATTTTAACGTGAGATTTCCCTCGAATTTAGTTGGAATCTCAGCAAACAGCATGTCTCTCCCATGCACGTATATCAAGCCGTGGAAGCACCACACACCAATTTGCGGACTGGTCAGGCTAACAGTCTTGCCATGTCCAGATTTGTCAGGCATATAATGTCCAATTGCCATGGGATTCAGTTCACAACACCTTAAATGATTGTACCGCCTTCGTTGGCTGGAAATGCAACACCCACGTACTGGTTTAAACAACGATACATCAGCTGGGAGCAGGAAATGTTCGACACTGAATTTAAAGGCCTCTCCCATTGAATGGAATGGTTAGGTATTGCTCTACTTGGCAACGTTTGTCTGATAGTGGCCGTTCGCTCCGTTTCAACGTTTCTTTTCTGTCGGTTGATGAAAGAAATTCAGAATGAATATGACCATCGTCCAACTAGTGTCAGCTTCGGAGAACAAGAAGACAATGAAGCTTATTAAGTGGCTCGTGTGTTAAAATCATGCATGGCAAATGTGGTTGTTAGCCGACACACTTGTAAAAGCGCAAATGACAGAATGGCCAGCTGGATGAGACGGACAGCGGGGGAGGAATATTAAGTGGGCGGCAAGCCATCTCACGTGAGTGATGTACAGTGACTGGCGAAAGTGCATAGGTGATTTAACAAAAGTTATTGGTTGGGTAGTTTTAACAGCAGCCTCTATGCACGCCCAATCATCTACACAAAGACAACTTGGTTGGCGTGAGGTAAGTGTTTTCGAGTTGTTAAGGTTTATTAATTGGACGGTTTTAAGGTAGTGCAAGAAAGCCATCACAAATCTGCACAGGAGCGTGCGAACAGAGTGCCACACTGTGAAACGGAGAGCTGTGTGTCGGAGGATTCGACGAACGGGTAACTAGACGTGAACCAACACGATTAACTACACAGGCATTTGGACAATCTCTAATTAATGCAAAGTTTGAGTTGTCAGCAGTCCATGGTACTCGGTGGCGTTTTAGTCGGGTTAATAGCGTCTATCGTAGACAAGACCATTTCACCAAAATCGTCTAAATAGACTGGCCTTTAGCGGCTCTTCCAGTCATGGTGGTATCATCAAACATCACAACGTGCAAGTACCAAAGGTCAGTTCCTCCAATCTTGGGCGGCCCATTACTAGTGCCCCATCGCCTAATAGTAAACATGTATAGCTCTTATTTCGCTCCACTGAAGATGTGTGGCATAGTGTGTTGATTCATGTCGTGAGCTGCTTGAAAGACTAACTCCTTCTATGCCACTATTCAGCCCAATCTCATCATCACGTCTACATTACCACCTCCACGACGCCCCTTACCATTCAAGCGTTTGCATATTTCTTCGTCAAATCGATGTGTATTAATTGACAACCCTCCAAAATTAATGTTCTTACTCTGCATGTGTGTGTGTGTGCGTGTATGTGTGACTAGTAATTATACCTGACAGCTAATGCACAATCACTGGACTACCGCACAACCAAGACCCACGCACTCACTTGTGGACAGGGTTGATGAACGGCCATGTCAACCCCACCCACGTGACGTCAGTCCCTTCGGTTTGCGCAATACCATGCCACAGCAGGGTGACGATTCGAGGTGGGATTTCTTCATGTGCATTGGTTAAAATATGTAGCGGATTAACAGCGATCGCGCCTGAGTGAACCATGGGTACTGACCTGACGGTGACAATGACTCACCCCCTTTTCATTGGTTACTATATCCGATGCCTGTCATCCGTTCACTCATCCACACACTAAGACACACTTGGTTGGCGTGACGCTAATAAACGGTCGTGTTCTCTGTCGCCTTCTTTTCCCCTCTCCTCGGGTTGTCTTGGGCTGTTAATTAGAGGGTTGTAAGGTAGTGCTAAGATCAAGCTACTACAAATACTCTCTACCGCGATTTGCTGTGATGTATTCTTGGTGATATGAGAGGTTAGAAATGCGTGTTTCTGTTCAAAATCACTAGCTGAGGCTACCCCTCTTTGCGACAGGTGTTCCGAGGTGACGAGAGCATTGTAACCACTCCCCGCAAATGCGCATCTCTCGTGTACCACCGCGATTTGGTTAGCTGTGCTGGTGATGAGCAAATCGACAAGTCTTCGTTGAGAATGTGCGACAAGGCCGTCGGCAAGGGCTGGTTTGGTGAAGTTACCTTGGCCAAATACACGGTGAGTTGTCGTCGATGTCTGTAATGGAAGAGCATTTCAGGTGTCTGAATAACCAATCAAGAAAAGAAATCGTTTCTTATTCAAAACAAAGTCGCAGTTTCTCTATTCCGTAGTATTTTGAAGCTGCGCAGGGAGCTGTTGGACGTGAATAAATGGCCGTTGAAATAAGCACGAATAAAACCCTGAGACATGACTAGCAGTACGAATAACAGCTTACCTGATACATTCGTTGTTGCACGGCGTCATTGAGACGAGTAGGAACACGAGAACGGTGGCACTGTGCTGTCGAAATGCCCATGTTTTGGATTGGTATTCCACCATTCAGTAATGCCTCAAAACAAACTTGACTAGAGTTCCTTAACTTCGTTTCCACGGGCACGTATAACGTGGCCGTGTTGTGAAATCCGTTTGATTTGGTATTAGCAAAGTGGTCTTGAGAGAGATAGCTGCCTAGATGACGGATTGGTGGAATGCTGCCCATTCACATAAAGGCGTTTCCCAGTGTGCCACATGGTACGGGCCATTTGACAGCACACATGTTAACCAATGTGTTACAGTGAGTTATAAAATTCTCCAAGTAATCAGATGAATTGGACGACGAGGAAGTCACTTCAGAAAATGCAGCAGTGACATGTGGACAAATAGCTGATTGCGTATTATGAGAAATTTATGTTACTGAATTTCACGATGAATCCTGGAACTAATTCCCACTTCAGTGACCCTGCGTTTGTTCTGATTCCCAGAATCCTAGTGGTGTAAAGTCGAAAGTGGCAATCAAACGCGTATCCCAGACATCCCCTCATGCCCTGGTTGGCGCAATGGAAGTAGCCGTGATGTTCGAGCTCGCAAAGAATCCTAACGACAACCTCATTCGTTTGGTTGGTTGGTATTTTGATACGGACGCTCTGCGCATTGTGACAGAATACATGCCTGGTGGTAATCTAGCAGACTACCTGGCAGGACTGCGCAACTCCAAAGACCACGCCCAGTTGATTGAATTTCGCGAATTCGCTCGACAAATTGCCACTGGAATGCGAGTTCTCGAGAAGAGGGAAATTCAACACAGAGATCTGGCTGCACGCAACATCCTCCTTGACTCCAAAGGGCGACTGAAGGTATGAGACTGTGCATTTGGTTATTGAAGCAGTTTAAAAAACCAACATTTGATATTAGGTAGAAATGCCTAAAGAAATAAAATGAATTACAATTTGCGTTGACATAGTTGCAGATGTGAAAACGATTTACCAAAAATAGATGCGGTACCTTAACAAGCTCTACTTGCATACAAATTTGAGATGGTGTTCCTGAATAGCAAGTCTGATCGGCAATGAAATTTTGCATTAATCAGACAGATAGGCTGGGTTGTTTAACTTATGAAAAAAATATACCTAATCTCCAGCGGCAAGTAAGTCAAGAATCTGCATGAGGAATTCGAGTGTTACTCACCCAAGTCCTGTGTAGATATAAAATGGTTGTATTATAATCTCAGATCGCCGACTTTGGACTTAGTCGTCCACAGGGCTCGCACTTCACGTCTGGCGTCATTGCAATCAGGTGGGCTGCCATGGAAGTGATTCAGGATGGCAGCAAGTACACACTCTCCTCCGACGTTTGGTCGTATGGCGTGGTGTTGTGGGAGATCTACAGTGTGGGTTATGCGCCGTACAATGACATCGAAAATGCGCAATTGCTAGAGTATTTGAAGGCAGGACATCGTCTTGAGCGACCACTTAATACTCCAGATGATATGTACTCAATGATGACGGATTGCTGGAAGGAGGACCCATCGGATCGACCTACCTTCAGTGTCATCTGTGATCGTTTGGCTGGTCGTGTCCACAGGCCAAATCGTCCACCTCCTCCGCTGCCCCAGCGGGCTGTTCACAAAAGTACGACATTTCATGCTTGAAGTCTAACACCTGCGTCATTTTGTTCATGCTTTGAGAATCCGCTAGTCCTGGTTGCACGATCGCATTGCTCGTGTTGCCATAATTTTGTCGCATGCAAATACTACGAATTGTTATGCAGCATGACATCGTCTGACTACAAAATGCGTCTTTACACCTAAACAGGATCGCTGAAATGCTGGCTCAGTTATCTGGATAGGTAAGGATTCTGATGGCTGAGTTCTGTTTCAGAGGTCAGAAATATTTCTGCGTCTGTCGTTGAGTGTACACATTGGTTAGCACCAGATCCTATTTCGCAGATGATTTATCTCTGATTTACATGTCAGAGGTTTTGTTCATGAATCAACTCAAATGTATCTGGTGGCTGGTAGATGATTGTGCGCGATTTCACCCTCAGTGTTCCACAGTGAGTACACCCGCTTGCTGCGTTCAGTGAATGACCTTTTCATTCAAAATCGGTAAGTATTGGAGGAAATCAAGTGAAAGACAATTGAAGCGATTTATTCTTCGTGATGTGTATCAAAAGCCACTGAAT